TTGATATAATGCTAAAATTATAGAAACATATGTGTGGAGCCATGCTTCGGCACGAATAGGTCGGCTCGACCGTAGTGGTACCACGGCTTGGCTCCAAAGTTGGAGAGGACGGGGGCTGCGTTTAAACGCATCCTCCCCAACCTCGGGGGGCCAAACACCTCCTGCCGGAGGTTATACGCCGGGGTCGTGCGGTCCATGGCCCTCTACGGCGCCCCTGTTTGGGCGCCTAACCTGTTGCGGCGTCCCGCTCGGACGCTGCTCATGGCACAGAGGGTCATGGCGATCCGAATGATCCGCGGATACCGCACGATCTCTGGGGAGTCGGCGAACCTCCTTGCCGGATTACCGCCGTGGGATCTGGAGGCGAAGGTGCTCGCGCGCGTGCACAGCATGCGCGCGGAGGCACGTCGCCGGGGCGAAACTCCGCTGCCGCGCCAGATAAGTGCGTGGCGGGATGAGCTCCGGCGCGATCTCATGGCGGAATGGCAGCAACGACTGTCGCAACCGAGGGCTGGGCTCGCTGCCATCGCAGCGGTAAGTCCCCTCTTTGAGGAGTGGCTTGAGAGACGCTACGGCGTCCTCACCTACCGCCTGACGCAGGTCCTCACCGGACATGGAAGTTTCGGGAGGTACCTGTGTCTGATGGGGCGGGAGGAAACGCCCGGGTGTCATCACTGCGAGGACCGCCCTGAGGACACGGTGGAACACACGGTGGGAGAATGCCCTTCGTGGGCTGAGCACCGCCGTGTCCTCAGGGAAGTGATCGGCGATGGCGACCTCTCGCGTCCGGGCCTAGTGCAGGCCATGATGCGGAGCGAGGGGGATTGGGATGCCGTCTCCTCCTTTTGCGAAGCAGTCATGCTAGCTAAGGAGGAGGCGGGACGCGTGAGGCAGCGAAGCGCTGCCTCCTCGCAACCCAGCCATCGCGAAGGACACACCGGGCGTCGGGGATCGCGGGACGATCTCCGGCCACCGTAAGCGCGGGCCTGCGGACGGCGAGCATGGGTGGCTCCCCGTCCGACCAGAAACAGACCCGAGCGTACGGCGCGTCGCGTTCCGCGCGCGCCTCAAAGAGCCATCAGACCACCACAGATGGGGCCCAATAGGGCCGATGCCGATTCGGAGTCGCGGAGAACCTAACGGGTAACCGGGGCTCCGGCTCGACGTGCAGGAGAAGGAACGGGGTGGTTTTTAGTCAGTAAGAGTCTGACACTCCCTCCCGCCTCACCCAGGCGGGAGCAGTCATTCGATGATTTTCCCCCCTTAAAAAAAAAAAAGTGGTACCACGGCCTCACAGAAAACTGACGTGAAGCAACGCTTGCATTGTGTTTCGTCGTGTGAGTGAGGTTACCGGAGGCCCAATTACCCTTCCCTTCCCCAATCTCCCCAATTCCTGAATCAACAACGATCCTCAAACTCCTAATCCCCAAAAGGCCGGTAACGCAGTTGTAATGCCTCTGGTGTTCCAGGTGTCCATGGACGACGCCGATTGCTTACTATCAGGTGATCCGACTGCTTGTATACCGGCTTATGCCATAAAAAATATTTATATAACAAATTTAATAATTACACAATTTATATATATGTAGCGGGAGCAACATGCTGCCGCTACTGTTATTTTTATTATTAACAAATTGTCAAAATCTCAAAAGAAACTTTTAAACTACAGAAACGAAAATAACACTCAAAAATCACTCAACGTGGTCCTACCACGTACTTTAGAAAGAAAACACTTTGACACTGTTTTTGAATTCAATCCCAAAAGTTAGGAAGTTTCGAAGTCGGAGCCGTTTTCAGCAACGCTTTGTGGATCGATCGATGTTTCTGAGGCAGGGATTCCCAATCTTTTCTTGCTCAAGGACCAAGGTTTTATCAATCTTGTTAAGTTGCGGACCACGTGTCGTGGTGGCACGGTATAAGGGTGCCTCCACATCTGGTGAATGTTCCACGAGCCGTTTGTGAGCTTCCCGCGATTTCGCGCGTGCATTTAAAATTAATATTTATATGAGACTTGCATTACTGCCTCGTTGGCCGAGTGGTCGCAAGTGCGACTGCCGGGCAAGGGGTCTCGGGTTCGATACCCTGGTTGGGCAAAGTATTACAAAAAATCTCAGTAGCTTTCTATGCACGAGGGTGTGGGTTCGAAACCAACGGCAAGTACCAATGTGACTTTTTCCGAGTTAACTTTATGGACTTTTTAAGATTATTTAGACACCACTGACAAACGGTGGAGGAAAACATCGTGTGAAAGCATGGACTTATAATTTCTTAATTATAAGTTTGAAATCGCCAACCCGCATTGAGCAAGCGTGGTGATTAATGCTCAAACCTTCTCAGTGTGACGAGAGGCCTTTAGTCAGTAGTGGGCACTCATAGGCTATTAATGTATGAGATGTGTATTTTTGTACATTTTGCAAAACACATATTTTGTCGTCTGCGGACCATCAATTGAGAACCACTGTTCAAAAATATTTGTGGGTCAAAAGGAGCAAAAGGTGAGAACATACTTGAGGAAACTTGAACAGTAATTTTCAAGAAAGGGACGTTTGTTATTGTAGTACGATAGTGTGTTTTTAGCTTTAAATTCTAAGTTTGAGTTGTAATTTTATAGGAATAATAATGATGTTTTGTAAGAGACCTTAGCTCCAATTTCCTGGTTGAACTAAGTCATTATATTATTGAGGTTTTCATCGCTTGGTGAAAACCTCAAAAAATTTCAAGCCAACTAAATATTGCGGGTTATTCACGTGAATATACTGAGAAAAGCTCTACTAATTCAAGCCACAGAGGGCGCTCTTCCTCAGAAGTAGCATGCGCGGTCGCGGTAATGTCGCGCAGCCTACAGGTAACCCTCGCTGTAGTACCAAACTAGTAGAGCTTTTCTCAGTATATTCACGTGAGAAACCCGCGATTTTTAGTTAATTTAGTATGTCTCACGATAGTTATTATAAAAACAATTACAAGTGATACCAGGACTCCCTGATAATGTCTAGTCGGCGGTTGTTAAAAATGCATACAACTTGGCAAGTGTCACATTTGTCAGTACCTGGCTTCGAATCCACAAACGAATGCATTGAGAAACAAATAGGACCTTACAAGTCTTTATCAAGGGATATTCTACAGTAACGAATGTCGTCAGAATCGATTCAGTACCTAGTATAGGGCTCCTCCTTCGTAGATGATAACATAACATAACATCACAACTTTTATCCCCGAAGGGGTAGGCAGAGGTGCACATTATACCACTGTACAATGTAACACCCACTTTTCACTATTTATGTTATGAGTCCCATGTAATAGGGGGTGAGCCTATTGCCATATACCGGGCACATTTCCAGACTCCGTGCTACTACTGAGATTTTTTTAAAAACCCAGTAATACTTTGCCCGACCCGGGAATCGAACCCGAGACCCCTTGCCCGGCAGTCGCAAGCGCGACCACTCGGCCAACGACTGCCTCGTTTTTCCCCACCCACCCACACAGAAGTAACACCCACTTTTCACTATTTATGTTATGAGTCCCAATATAATAGGGGTGAGTCTATTGCCATATACCGGGCACAATTCCAAGACTCCGTGCCACTACTGACATTTTTGCTCGACCTGGGAATCGAACCCGAGACCCCCCGAACCGAGACATCGCGCCCGGCAGACGCACTTGCAACTACTCGGTCAACAAGGCAGTCAAAAACTACCATAGTACTATAATTTTAAAAGAGTAACGAATGGAGTTTCTTGCTCGTTCTTCTCCACTCGAGTCTACATTTTGGAACGAGCGCTTAGCTTCACTGACGGACAGACTGACAGACTAATTATTTATTTTGTATTTGTTGACGTTTCAAAAGTACCAAATTATGGTTTAATTGAAATAAAGGCCGTTGAGTTTTATTTTTTTTTTCAGTTCGTATCTACTCATCATGAAAAAAGCTAAAATTGGTTTCCCTCCAGTGTAACCTATACCTGAAAGCGAGTGGCCGAGAAATATTTTAGCACGTAGCTGTAATAAATATTCAGGACCTGCTGGCCGGAAACTGAAGCCTTCGCAAGTAGGTTCTAATAATTTGGAACTTATATTTCTTGGTTTACTGCCTTTTCCTAGACGAAGGTACAGTGGGCGAGATTTTTAATTACTTTTTTGAAAATAACATTACTTAACAACGCCTTTTATCCCCGAAGGGATAGGCAGAGGTGCACATTACGGCACTTAATGCCATTGTACAATGTAACACCCACTTTTCACTATTTATGTTATGAGTCCCATGTAATAGGGGGTGAGTCTATTGCCATGCCACCGGTCACAATTCCAGACTCCGTGCTACCACTGAGATTTTTTTTTAAATCGAGTATCGAGGGATCGAAATAGAAATCCCTTCCTGGCAGTCGTTTGAAATTATGAAGGACTTCTAAGGATAAGCTGTAACTTAGTTCGGAGTACCTACATCTATTGACTACTAGTTGTTGCCCGCGGTCGCGTTAGTATAGAAAATGATTCCTGTTTTATCACTTGGGAGCATTTAACTCTATGAGTACCGTCATTATAGACGCAATTAAAGAACAATAGGTTGCGGTCACCGGTGTCCTCGCGGTATTTGACAGTTTAATCGAGATAAAAAGTATCCTATCACGTATGGTTTTTTTTTATAGCATAAGCCGGTAAACATGTAGATGGATCACCTGATGGTAAGCAATCAGTACCGCCGATGACAACCCGAAACACCAAGGCGTTATAAGTGCGTTACAGACTTTTGGGAATTGAGAATTTGAGGATTGTGGAGAATTCGAGGAATTGGGAGATTAGGGAGATGTAATTGGGCCTCCGGTAACCTCACTCACACGACGAAACACAACGCAAGCGTTACTTCACGTCGGTTTTCTGTGAGGCCGTGGTATCACTCCCGTCGAGCTGGTACATTCGTGCCGAAGCTTTCAGTAGTATAAGCGTTATTGACGGACAAAAATCAAAACATACAAACATCAGAACGTTAAATATGTTTATAGTCCTAGGCATATTTTTATGGAGTTGGCCTTCAGTGAGCACAACTTTTGATAAGGCAAACAACTGTTGAAAAGAATTTTTGGTCTGATTCTTCAAAGCAATGTTAGAGCTAAGCAGACAAAAATTCCTTCTACCTTTTTTTTAAGGGGGGGAAATCATCGAATGACTGCTCCCGCCTGGGTGAGGCGGGAGGGAGTGTCAGACTCTTACTGACTAAAAACCACCCCGTTCCTTCTCCTGCACGTCGAGCCGGAGCCCTGGTTACCCGTTAGGTTCTACCTTAGGCAATTATAAAACTACTAGCTACTTCCGCGCGGTTTTACACGCTCTACTCAGCTCCTATTGGTCGTAGCGTGATTTTTTATAGCCTATAGTCATCCTCGATAAATGCTCTATTTGACACAAAAATAATTATTCAAATCAGACTTGTAGTTACGGAGATTAGCGCGTACAAACAAACAAAAAAAAACAAACTCTTCCGCTTTATATAGTAGTATAAGATTTGTGTTTTAGTTAAAGTACTTGTGAATGAAATAGTCCAACGAACATTATTAATAACCTATTCATCTGTTAATTCAAAGGTTGATCTGAATTTAATAAAATGTATTACAAGTGAAACAAATAGGCTACAAGGCAGCACTTTTACACGTCAAATTACGTATAGATAGGTTTCTGAGAATCCTAATATTATAAATCGGAAAGTGAGTTTGTTTGTTCCACTTTCACGCCGTAACTACAAAACCGATTGCTTTTAATTTTTGCAGACGTAAAGTTAGAAGTCCGGATTAAATAATAGGGTACTTTTAACCGGGAAAAATTTGATATTCCCGAGGAAAACCAAAGGTATAGATGGCGCTGTGTGTTGGTATATGTCACAGGGGCTACTTTTTATCCTTTTGTGATGCGAGAGAAGCCGCGGGTATAAGCTAGTAACTACCTATAAATAAATAAACAAAAATATAAACTCACCTTCATCATCAAAACCCTGGGCAGTCGCGGAGCCACTAGGCTTTGGTTTAGACCCGTCTCGCATCTCACTCGCACTTATAACAAAATAATATTTTATATCTCACTCTAACACTTCACATAACAATGTTCGTGGCGACATCTAGCGGAGTTTCATGATGTTGGTAATAGCGCCATCTTTTGGTGTGATTGTAGCAACTCTTGGTTTGTCGACATTTTTGTGAGTTGTTTTTTGTTACCTGTAACAAGAGGAAATAAGAGAATATTAATATTAAAACATAATAATGACGTCATCATAAGATGGAATAACTGCTGAAAAAAACTGGCTTTTTCGAGAGGGCTTATTATAGTTTTTACGATTGATAGTCCTAGGATCGCAGATTGGTGACAGAAGATTTGGAAAGTTTAGAGGTAAGTACTAGTCCTCGGTGACTTTTTTTTATGGGCGCAAGATCATCGAATAACTGCTCTCGCCTGGGTGAGGCGGGAGGGAGTATCAAACTGTTACTGATTAAAAACCACCTCGTTCCTACTTCTCCCTTTCGAGCCGGAGCTTCGGCAACCCGTTATATTCTTCGCGGCTATCGGCATCAGCCCTATCGGGCTCCATCCATGGTGGTTTGACTCTTTGAGGCGCGTGTGAAACGCGACGCGCCGTATGCTTGAGTCCTTGTTGACTAGTCGTAGTTCAAGGACAAACCCTTTCCTATTGGAATAATGAGGTACATACATTTTACCATCTTACGAGAGAAATCATTGGAAGATTTTCTCCCCTACAAAAAAAAATATATAAATGTAAAACTTTTTTTTTTATGCCATAAGCCGGTAAACGAGCAGACGGATCACCTGATGGTAAGCAATCGGCGTCGCCCATGGACATCTGGAACACCAGAGGCGTTACAAGTGCGTCACCGGCTTTTTGGGGATTAGGAGTTTGAGGATCGTTGGGGATTCAGGGATTGGGGAAATTGGGGAAGGGGAAGGTAATTGGGCCTCCGATAACCTCACTCACACGACGAAATACAACGCAAGCGTTGCTTTACGTCGGTTTTCTGCTCGGCCGTGGTATCACTATCATTTTATAATCATAATCATTTACTTATTCGAAACTTAGTAAAACTTTGTGAATATGTATTTTATTTTGTATGTAGCTCTTACGCAAAAACTAATGAACGCATCTGAATGACATTTGGAACAGGGTATATTATGGTCTGGAGTTACACATAGGCTACTGTTAACCCCACGAGATTTTATCACCGTAATACGAGTGAAGCAGCTGCCAGAATCTAGTACACACATTATGACATGACTGATTGCGTCTACCAAGTATAGTTTTAGTTTACGACGATCAATCACAAACTATAATAAGTAAAAGTACAAGAAAAATACTACTTCATCTTTCTTTATTAGGAAATTGAATCGGTAATTATTTGTCGTTGTTGACTGCCTCGTTGGCCGAGTGGTCGTAAGTACGACTCACGACTTAACATAATATAACATCACGCATTTTATTTCCGAAGGGGTAGGCAGAGGTGCACATTATGACACCCACTTTTCACTATTTATGTTATGATTTCCATGTAGGTAATAGGGGGTGAGCCTATGGCCATATACCGGGCACATTTTTTTTAAAAAACCCATTCATACTTTGCCTGACCCAGGAATCGTCCCCGAGACTCCTTGCCCGGCAGTCGCACTTGGACCACTCGCTCAACGAGGCAGTGTTATTATCAATAAAAAGTTAATTATTAGCAACATAAATATTATATGAGCGGTGATATTAGCCAATATCAGGCGATACGGACAGACTGACATATATATCAATATATTAATGAAAATAACGAGTAATAAATATTATTAATAACTAGCTTTTCCTGGCGGCTTCGCCCGCGCGCCCGCTCCCAAATCCGCTGCAACTCCTGTACACCAGGATCTACAGTAGATACAACCATGAAAACACCGGAACACTGAAGTGCGGCACGTCCCAGGGACATGAAAAATTGTGTTGAATTACAGCAGGAGACAGAGTGAATTAAGCCTAAAGGCACAAAGAAAAGAGACTGTACAACTGGGTAAAGCCCAGTCGCCAAGCACCACGGAAATTTGACTAAAATCTAAGTGGGTCCTATGTCTGAGCTAGTAAGTTACCCAAGTTATTAATTCTCTGGCTATCATGACACAAATTTCATCATTTTTTAAATGTTTATAGTTACAACTAGCTGTTGCCCGCGACTTTGTCCGCGTTCAATATGATTCCTATTTTATCCCATGTGAGCATTTAATCGGGATAAAAATCCTATCACCTAAGTCAGCCAACACCCTGCCTGTATACCAACTATCAACAAAATCCCTTCAGTAGTATCAGCGTGACAGGTACAATCATGAATAGGGTAGATGCCTTATTTTTATTTTAATGTCCGTCAGGTAGATTATTTTAAATCATTAGACACGTATTTTTTATTTTTTTATAGAAACGAATACTTTCGACGACATATTGATTTGAAATGTCGCGTGACGTCACTTCTATGTACATTTTATACGTAGAAATGATGTTTTAGCCTCCAATCCTAAACTTTGATTCGTTTTATCTCAGTATTGTTTTAATATACGACAAAATAAAAATACGTGTCTAATATTTTTTCATTACCTAACTTACGGACTAATTATATTTTTATTTTTCATACCCTGTCATCATCCCAATTACTATACAAGTGTGATATCGTTTCTCTAGCACCCTATATATAAATCTACACGTAACTACAACAGCCTGTAACCACGCGTTTGGCCCTAACAATAAAATAGCCGAGGCCTTTGTCCTTTTTGTATCATTTTTCCTCTTAAATTTTTTCTTTCATAATAAAATATATCGCGAAAGGTTTTCTTGGGCGGCCATTTTTATATGGAACGCTATATTTATATACGTTAACATTATACATGTGAAAGTGTTTGTCTGTCTGTTTATTTGTTTGTACGTCTTTCACGGAAAAACGGAGCAAGGAATTGATGTGATTTTTTAAATAGAGATTTTTTTTTTTATATAAATGGTGGGTGCGTTTACAAACATACAAGTTCACATACACATGACACCCAGACATGGAACAACAATTTGTGGATCACACAAAGAGTTGTTCCGTGTGGGAATCGAACCCGCGACACGTTCTGTGGCTGCCAGTTGCCAAACCACCGCGACCGCGCCAACTGTGTGTAACATAGGCTAATGTTTTGTCTTTTTTTCAAATCCCCACTTCTCTAAAACTGAAAGTGGAAGATTGTATGGAGCATTTTACAATTTCATATCAAATAAGGACGCTATAAATTGCTTTGAGAACTATTGGTGATTTTTAAAAAAAAAATTGCGCATATTTTTTTTATTGATAACTAGCTGGCCCGGCAAACTTCGTACCGCCTATAAATGTTTTTCTCACCTTATAAACCTTCCCTGGACTCCCACGAACATTTAAATACCAAAATTACCGTTATTTCACCTGGTGGTATCCGACGATGCGGCCTAATCCCTAAAAGGACGGTAACGCACTTGTAACGCCTCTAGTGTTTCGAATGTCCATGAGCGACGCCGATTGCTTACCATCAGGTGACTTTTTTTTTATGGCATAAGTCGGTAAACGAGCAGACGGATCACCTGATGGTAAGCAATCGGCGTCGCCCATGGACCTGGTACACCAAAGGCATTACAAGTGCGTTACTGGCCTATTGGCTATTAGGAGTTTGAGGATCGTTGGGGATTCGAGAATTGGGTAGATTGGGGAAGCGGAGGGTAATTGGGCCTCCGGTAACCTCACTCACACGACGAAACACAACGCAAGCGTTGCTTCACGTCGGTTTTCTGTGAGGCCGTGGTATCACTCCGGTCGAGCCGGCCCATTCGTGCCGAAGCATGGCTCTCCCACACTTGCGGTCGAGCCGGCCCATTCGTGCCGAAGCATGGCTCTCCCATACTTAATAAAATGTACATGGTATGCCTTACAATCTAATGTGATATCCAACAAAACTACACAAATAGTTTGACTGTTAGATCACTCCGTTCGTTTACCAACTTATCCCATAAAATATTTCTTTTGTCAATCTTTTAAAGAAGCGCGAGCGAAGCCGCGGACAGACGCTAGCATATTATATATGTTACGGCTACCGACCACCGTTTAGGTTACAAAAAAGATTGGATGCTCCCTTATTTATAAGACGTCAGTTTAAATTCCGTTTAGCGTAAATAGGGTTGCTTTTTCGAAATGTTAGGCTGAATAGGTTAATCTTTTGTTCGAAGGGGTAAACATAACGCTCACATTTAATGTTAGATTTATACAATTTGCAAGTGTGGGAGAGCCATGCTTCGGCACGAATGGGCCGGCTCGACCGGAGTGATACCACGGCCGAGAAGAACACCGACGTGAAGCAAAGCTTGCGTTGTGTTTCCCTGAATCCCCAACGATCCTCAAACTCCTAATGCCCAAAAGGCCGGTAACGCACTTGTAACGCCTCTGGTGTTCCAGGTGTCCATGGGCGACGCCGATTGCTTACCATCAGGTGATCCGTCTGCTCGTTTACCGGTTTATGCCATAAAAAAAACATGATCTTTAGTACCATTTTTTTTAAGTGGGGAACATCATAGAATGACTGCTCCCGCCTGGGTGAGGCGGAAGGGAGTGTCAGACTTTTACTGACTAAAAACCACCCCGTTCCTTCTCCTGCACTTCGAGCCGGAGCCCCGGTAACCTGTTAGGTTCTCCGCGACTCTGAATCGGCATCAGCCCTATTGGGCCCCATGCGTGGTGGTCTGATGGCTCTTTGAGGACGGTCTTCTGTACCATGCCAGGGTAAGAAAGAAGTGCACATCACGTCCTAACAAACTTGAATATTTTATTTCGTTAATGATAGAGCTGTAAATAGAACATTGTTGATGTCTTTCTAAAGCATACACTATCAAAGCTAAACTAATATATTATACTGGGTGGAATTTTGTAATTCCACCGGAAGGGGGAGTACTCTTAATACTTTAGATAGCAAATTTGATTCAAAGATAACAATCCTTTATTTTTTGAAAAGACAATAAACGACATTCGAAGATTTTGAAAAATTCGCTCACTGCACACGGTAATCGAACCGACTAAAATCTGTAAAAGTCGTCGTCGTCAGGTTCAATAATGATTGATGTGAATGATAAAATATTTGTAGGGATATGTATAAAACCAATTTTTCATTAATTCTTACTAGCGACCCGCCCCGG